AAAAAAAAAAAAAAAAAAAAAATTAATTGCTCAAGAAATAAGAGTTTCTTAAAATAGAAGTGCATTAAATGGGGACATTTTGTTTAATACTCTTAAAAATGTGTATGTATTTTTCGGAATAATGACTTAATGTGACACCTGTTTTATCCCCAGCTGAGATCTTACAACTTCCTCTCACACTCCTTCTTTCATTCTGTTTCTGAAGAAGGTGGGTGGGTGGATGTCAAACAATCGATGGCTCCTCAGTTCACAGCAGTGAAACATAGATGGTAATTGAATGATTTTCTGTCTTTTCATGCTATGTATGCTTGAAAAGCAGTGTGGTGACATTTGTTCTGGTAAATTTTCTGAATAAAGATTTACAAAGCATTTTGAACTGTCGGGAGGCCAGTGTGCATAATTCAGTGTGTAGCTGATGGCTGGCTCCACTGGCCAATCTGAATTTATTGGTAGCATGTAACCAGTGCTTATCATGGGGTTTGTGCATTTATCTCCCTTAGTATTCATAACAACTCTATAAGGTAGGTGATTTTTATCGTCTCTAATTTGTAAGTGAGGAATCTGAGGCAGAAAGAGGACTAATAACCTAGCCAAGATTTTATAACTGGTAATCTGTGGCTAGAATTCAAATCCCAGCTCTTTGACTTCAGTGTTCCGGGTTGCTACGCTACCCATGCCTCACATCTCTGAACTGAATCTAATTTCTTGATGAGCCCTAAAGCTTTAGGTAAAATCCGGTCAAATTGCCGGTTCTTAGAATCTAGTTTTGCTTGTTTGTTTCTCAGAAGCATTTCAATTCTGAGGATTTTCAAACTTATTCTCTCCTAGGACAGGAGCAAGTAGGCCATAACATCCCTCCCTAAGGTATTCTCTCCCTCTTCACACTCATTACACCCCCTTAACATAAGTGAGAATGGAGTGGGCTAGGTGCAGGGTTACTGCTGTTTATGGGAATTCTCATCTCTAGTTTTGGACATAGTTAAACTAGCTAGCAGGCAGGCTCCATGGCCTCCATAGACTCTGCCCAGGTGTCACTTGGCTTTCCCAGAGGCCTGGATTCACCACTGTTTGCCCAAAAAAGGTGATCAATTCTTGAAATAAAAGGAGTCCAGTGGAATAGTAGCAAGGGTGAGGAAAGCAGTGAAATTGTGCAATGTGTATTAAAGATGTCCAGAAATAGGTCAATGCAAAGTTCTGTATTTGCTGTATATACAAGTTCTGCTTTTTGTTCAATTAGTGACCCTGGAATAAGGGTGGGAGTGCTGGTAACAGCAGCTCACTTTCTTTAATCAGGGAAGGTTTTACAAAAGAACAGTGGTTTCAAGAGATCTTTGAAGTTATTCCAGCAAGGTGCTAATTGTGGTTGTGGTTTTCCTTTTTCTTTCATTTTTCACTTTAGTTTACCAGGTGCTACTGAGTCAAAAGCATTCACTGAGAGCCCACAGACCATTCTGTATGCATGGGCCATGGCAAATCAAACTGCATCAATAACCCCGTACTTTTAGAAAGGGAAGAAAAATGTTCCTAAGAGATTATTTGGTACCTAAACTTTTTACTTTTGTTTAAACAAACCTAACTTGCATTCATGAGAGTTCTTCTTTTTAAAGTTCTTATTGTAAGCATATTTGGTTTTTGTTCAAACCTTTGGCTTTAAAACACTGAAATTCTAGTGTATAATCATTTATTTTGCTTTCTGCCTATGTTGATCATTTTTTCTTTAATGTTTATTTTCAGGATACCTTGAGGATAGTTTTGTAAAATCTGGAGTCTTCAATGTATCAGAACTTGTAAGAGTATCCAGAAGTAAGTAAATTCTTTTCTAACTACTTAAGCATGAAGTATGATTTAAAATACTTTTTATATTTTGTTCCTTAAATATCGTATAAAGAGTGACTACATATTAAAAAATTTGACTTTTAAAATCTTAAAACTTTTGATGAAATCATAACTGAATATCAAATCATCAAAACTTTTTGTTGTATAAAAATAATTTTTGGTTTTTCTGATTGCCATGTTATTGGTATTCATTTAATTCACTGTTCTCTGCATGACCATAGATGGCCATTTATATCAAAGGAAGTATGATTAATTAAATGTACCCTATGTTGTTATGATAACCCACATAAGTTTCCTGTAGATAAGTGCTTTTTCATTTTACTAACATTTTGGTGGGGGTTGGAGAGGTACAGGATATACACGCTAACGTGCAGAGTGTAGAGGGATGCAGAAATTAACTTTGCAGACTGGAGTTGGATATAGATAGAAAGCATTGTTATCCAAAACAATGTCCAATTGTTTTAACTGGCCACTTCACCTGAGACACCATTCTTGGCAGGCTGGATCAGATTTTTCTACGGTAAGCTCACCTGGCAGGCTACCTAAGCAAAGGGGACGTTACCTTGATTAACTCTTTTACTTATTACTAGCATGTACAAACATAGCCAAGATGTACATCTATATGTACTAATTGTGTTAAAGGAGGTGACTCTTTTCTTCATGCCCCCTTCACTGATTTAGCTTATTTATGTAACTTTGAAGGGTATGTTTTCACCTGACATTTTGATAGAATGCATCACCTTGGAATGATGTTATTCAGATGATGTAGTCACACTCTGATACTTGCCTAAGTTGTGTTTTTCATTTGGGTCAAATTTAGAGATCATGAATAAGAATTATGATGATCCAGAAAGAACAGAGTAAGTGAGTTATTGAGAATAAGAATAAGCAGTGTTTTAGAGTCTTGTTCAGTAAAGGAACCTCCAAGCGATCAAGTGATCGCTGACTGTCTTTTCAACCACAGTTCCCCAAACAGCTCGCATTTCTAAAATGAACAGTGCAAATAGCATGTATATCAGGGAGTGATATATGTGAGCATTTAAGACCGTAAGTAGTTTATCCTTTCTGGTATAATTCTGGAGTAGATAAATGTATGCTCAAAAGACTTCTCTCATGGATCTTTTTACTTGGTGGCAGTAGGAGAAGAAACACAAATATCCTGTGTTCCGGTAGCCTCAGGGTATATATTTGATGGGCAAGGAGATTATCCAAGGCAATATGCCTTAATGTGTTTTTCCAGATCAATATGTGATATCCAAAGATATCCAACATTTGCAAGTTTTCACTTTTAATTTGGGAAGAAATATGCCTGAGTCATCAGTAGCACTTTGTAGCATCAGGTAAGAGAGGGGATATCTGGAGGGGTGTATTTGTTTTATCCATAGGGTTCTTTAGCAGAAAGGCTTATGAACTTATTTGCTTAAATTTGTACTTCTCTGAGTTCAAGTTCAGTGGTGTATTTTCATCCTTCTTAGGAGAAGGGCCATAGAGTCAGCTGTCAGAAAATATTTATTTAGTACCTCATTGTAGGTAATATTATTCTAAGGACTGTCAAAGGAGAACCACATTAGAACCTTCAAAAGCCCAGACAGATATTTTGAAAAATCTGAATTTCAAACATTAAAAAAAGATGAAAATTATCTTTCTAGAATCGTTCAAAACCAAGGTAAATTTAATATATGTCATTCATTCATTCTTAACTTATAATGTTGTATCTTAGAGGTTTTAGATTATTTGTTATAACCAACATTACTAATTTGTAATTAGCACATTAATTATATTCATTAGGTAATTTATTCACCAAACATTTATTTTCTCCTCCATATGTAAATATGTATCTCTGAAATGCCTGAGAAGTTATCCTCCTAAGTGTTTTAATATATCCACATCATAATCTTGTTTGCACCATTCAACTTTATTATTTATGAAATAAGGGTTTGCTAAGTAAACATGAACTTCAGCACAAAACTTACGTGTGTATCACAAATTCTGGCTTGAGGGTTCACAGTATGCTAGTGGTTTCAGTCCTCCAGAGTTTTACAATCATAAGACCCACTGATGTGTATGTTGACTTTAGCTAATGAAGCTATTCAGTATTAGGATAGTGATCTCCCTGTTGAATGACATTATCTCCATCTTAAAAGTTGATTTAGGATCAGCTTTTGGAGTGAGGATAACAATAAGAAAGATTCAAGTTTGGCCTCTAACCCTTAGAATCTGAGGTTCTTTGGTGCTGCATTTTTAAGAGGATATCAGCAACCTCTTAAACATGATTTGCAGCTTTCAGCCTTCCTGTGGCTCCCTGGGAGAGGCGCTAACACTGATCTTTGCACCTGATGTAAGTTCTTCCAGAGGCTCTTAAGTAAGAATATCTGAGACTTGCTGTTCTCACACACTCTTTGTCATTAAATAATTTCTGTACTTTGGCCGTGTTTATTGTTAATCTACTTTCTTCCCCATTTACTGTCAGAATGAATACTAAATTGTTACAGTGTGCAGGCATAAATCTGTAGACTATTTTATTGCTATCTTTAAAAAATTAAAACATAATATGTGTACATATTGATGGAATCCATGGGATCTTTGGATACATGCATACAATGTGCAATGATTAAATCAGGGTATTTAGGATATCTGTAATCTCAAACATTTGTCATTTATTCATGTTGGGAATGTTTCAAATCTGTTTTTGCTATTTTGAAATATGCAGTATATTGTTGTTAACTCTAGTCACCCTGCTGTGCTATCAAGTACTGGAAATTATTCTTTCTATTATGACTGTGTGTTTTTACCCATTAACCCATCTCCCTTCATCTCCCTACCTCCCCACCTCTGACAACCCCTTCCATGAGATCAACTTTTTAAGCTCCCATGTATGAGTGAGACCACGCAATATTTGTGTTTGTTTGTTTTTTGCTTTCTTGACACTCTGGAATAATCCTTCTGGAAGAAAACTCAGAAAAAAAAATAAACTTTTGAAGATTTTAAAATTATCTTTACTACAAATTACATTTATTTATGGCTATACAAACTGTGCTGACTATGGAGCCATATGTATTCAATAGAAATTATAAATCTTTGCCTAAAAATTACATGAGCTTAATAAATTGAAAATAGTTTATATAAGGTAGAACCTCTATGTTTCCTGTTAGTAACTCAGGTCTGTGAATTGTATTTATTACTGTGATAAGAAGCCAGACAGATTGTTTTCTTCACTTGAGCCCCTGAAATGCCTCCTTCTAGCATGTAGCCCGCTTCCAGTGTCCCATAGAACATGGTTCTGATAATAAAATTTAAAACATGTGGTTACTGTGGGATTTCTTACCTCACATTTTTTTTAACCATTGGTGTACCTCAAGCCACAACATTTTAGTTGTCCAAATAGCTACATTTATTTGTCCAAATTATTCCAGCCATCAGGCATAGTTACTCATTGAATACACATATTTTCTGCTTAAAGGATGTTACTGTGTATTATAAAACATGAACAGTCTATCAGAAGGCAGATAGATACTCCAGAAGTTTGGAGCTGATACTCATCATGTATATACAATGTATTTAATTTTCAGTGGGGAAAGAGAGATGTTCATGGTATATTCCTTGATCACTTCTCCGTGATAAAGCTTGTGCCTCCTAATTATATTTTCTTAAAAATATTTTAAGTTAATCTTAGCCTGCCTAATATTAAAATAGAATTCAAGGGATAGTGAACACATTTAGAATATTCATTAAAAATTATGGGTAAGAAAACTTTCATAAAAATCTGCAGGCCTTTTAAACTTTTATACTTCACTTGAGACAGTTAGGAGGGAGGAGGAGATAAGTAGGCCACGTATGCTTAGAGTGAATCTCAGGGGCTCTAGAATTTGGTTGCAAAGCCTCAGAGTACACATTCATTTGAGCTTTTGAAGGGCTGATTAAGACAGGTGAAGAAATAGAAACAATTCTTAAGCAATGTTCTTTGACACCAACCTGCCTGGTCTTCACTTTGCACATTATCTCTACCCATGATTTTGCTTCTGCAGCAGTCCCTGTTTAGAATGACCTCCCTCTCATCTCTTACTCGTTCTCTAAAGTCCAGTGCCAGCTATGGCTTCTCATAGACTTCTTGGACAATTCAAGCTGGTATTGGATTTTTTTTCCCCTTGCAATCCTACAGCAGTTATGGATCATGTCATTCATTTGGACAGTTTCATTGTCATCTATTTTGATATTTATATGTTTTACATGAATGTTTTATTTACCCAGCTTCTTGTGCAATATTTTTATTAAGGGCAGTGTATGAGACTATTTTGTACCCATTGCAGCAATACCTGCCAGCAATGGACATAGTCAATAATCGAATGAACAAATTTTTAGCAAACAGGTTCATTTATACCTCTTCCTCTGCTTTTAGCACATTTTGAACTGTTCATCTTTGCTAACTATTCCAGTCTATTAGGGAAGAAATTTAGAGGAGAAAGCAAAGAAGGAAGGGAACTCATAATCACTGAGCACCTATTGTATACTAGGCACGATTCTGGGCTCTTACCACTACCTACTTAATTTCATCCTCAAAATAATCATAATGTGCCAGGTTATTATTATTCCCATTTTACAGTTAGGAAACTGAGGCACATAGCTTATAAGTACAGAGGGAAGTTAAACTAAAAGGCTATTTATTTCAAGATTGCTGATTCTAACACAATATGCTGCTTCACAGACTTATTTATAATATCTAAAATTAAATTTTAAAAATTTGAACAGATGTAATTGTACAAAAAGCAATGCTTATATACAAAAATTTTAGTTCCTAGTATATTAGCAAATTTTATGTGATTAAAATCATTTATATGTTTTAAATGATTTATAAAGTTGTGGGATAAAATTTAAAAAACACCAACTATTGAGTAAAACCACATTTATCATTTTTATATGAAACCTGACTACATATTTTAGAAACAAACTTGGGTTTTATTCTATATCTGTAAATTTCACTTATATACCTGCCCTACTATAAGAATTATTTATATCAAATAATTATTACTATCATGACTTCTAACCACTCAAATATTAATGTTGGATAGTGACAGGAATCATCTATTGTTTCCTCCAAGGCATCTATAGACTAGTAGAGTGACAGATGTAATGTCAACTCATTTAAAGGAGTGAGTAAAGAAGGTTGAGGAGTAGGATTAAGGGAATTGGTAACCAGTGATTATAGTTTGATCGCCTCAAATTTTCAAGCTTGAACATTGCTAAAGTGAGTAAGTTCTCAAGCTCTACCCAGGGTGTATGATGGGTGTTATAGGATTAAGGTGAAGAAAGTTCTCTCTATCCTTAACCAGAGGCATGGAAGATATTTCATTGTTACATTTTAATAGAGGTCAGAAATATAAATGTCATTTCCAATGTTTCTTTGTCTTATTCCTCAGCGCCCATAACCCAGGGAACTGGAGTCAACTTCCCAATTGGAGAAATCCCAAGCCAACCATACTATCATGACATGAACTCGGGGGTCAATCTTCAGAGGTCGCTGTCTTCTCCACCAAGCAGGTAACCGAAAGAAGGGCTGCTCTTATTCTCAGTTGATACACACATAGGTAGGTAGGTGGATGACAGGCAGATAGATTGGTAGGTAGGTAAAGAGAGAGGGGAAATAAGAGTTTTTACTGCTAGTACACAGATTTTAATCTTTCCTGATTATATTTATTTAGCTGTTACAAATTAAATGTAATTGTTGTATACAGCAGCTTAAAAAATCTTTTTCAGGGGGTTAGGTAACTATGAAAATATACTAGTGTGATTTTTATCCTGTTGTATGAAATATTAAAATGCTACCAGTTAATGAAATCTTTGGATGCCTTTAAAAATGATGTTGCTGTGGCAGTGATCTCTGGTTTATAACTGATTCTTGGTAACTTTTACCCAAAAAATACACCTAAGCTTGGGATCATGAGACATAAAAAATAAGATGTTTCATTTATGTAGCCTTAAAATTAAAGACCACAGTTTTCCAGGTTCTTCAATTAGTTGATTTTTTTGACTAATTTAGGCAACTCTCAGTTACCAATGAAAATATTACCTTTCCTGTTCTGTGAGTTACCAGGAAAAGAAAAATATTTTGTTTCCTGAGATTTGGTTTTACCAGTCTATGTTGAGGGGAAGCTATAGACAGTTCTCTTTGGTTTTAGTTCTCTGTTAACATTCTCATTTTTGCCCCTGCACTTCTCATTGTAATTGTCAGTCAGGATGCATAAAGATTACAGACGTATTGATTTTATTTTGTTTGTTTGTTTGTTTTTGAGCTGGATCTTCAAGACTTATCTCATTCCTAGAGCATTAAATATATATGTAATCAAATACAAGAGCATACATGAATTCTAGAGCAAAACACTCATTTTACAATGTCAGCTTTTAAAAAATAAAAGAATATCTGTATATTTATTTTTCTAAACTATTTTCAATAATGAAAGTCCACTGAATTTGAATTAATTATGCACTGTGCATATTTGTATGCTTATAAATGAAGGTCAATTTTATATCAGTTCTGGTTTTTCTATAGTTAAATTATGTAGCAAGATAATTGGGTTTATTATCATTAAAATAGTCTCTGACATATTGAAGTCTTAAAAATGCTTTGGTTTTTCTAAATTTAAAATGTGAATAGTAATTTTTTAAATTTTAACTGCTAAATGAGTATGATCTTTCTTCATGACTGCTCTATATAAGATACTGTCTTTCAGAATAAACAAGGTTTAGAAAACATTTCTCTATTACTTCCTTATGAATATAATTTGTCTCCCATTTTAAGGTTTTCAGACACATTTTCTGCTGACTCACAATGAGAGAAGTTAGATTAAAAAGAGAGTTAGATATAAGGTCTAACCTTGGTTACTTTAGGAAGAAACTAAGCTTAGCGTGGTTAGAAATTGCTGTCTTCTGTGTTTTTTTTTTTTTTTTTT